TGATATTTATGTACTTTTTTAGATTAATGGTACATTGGCTTTTAAAACCTTTATTATTATAGAAATTTTGAAATATTCACAAGAGACTAGAAGGCACCTGCACCTAGCTATCACTCAGCTTCAGCAGTAATCAGCATTTTGCCCATTTTGTTTTATCTACTCCCCTACTTTTTCTTGAGAATATGAAAGAAAATTTCAAGTATCAGGATAGACTTATAACTTATAAGAACTTTTCACTAATGTCATCTAATACTCAGTCTACATTTTCATTTTCCTGATTATTGCGAGAGACTTTTCACATTCGGTTTGTGCAAATGAGGATCCAAATATAGTGCGCACATTGCAATCAGTTGTTACATCATTACACACACACACACACACACACACACACACACACACACACACACTTTTAATGCCTCAACTTGTTGGAGAAACCATGTCAGGAGTCCTGTAGAATGTCCCACATTCTGAGGTTGATGTTTCCTCAAGGCTTATTTGATTTGTTTCTCTATCTATTGTATCTGTTTTAACAAGTTAGATGTTGAGAACTCAAGATGGTGGCTCCGTTTTTAAGAAGAATATTTTGTAATAGGGTCCTTTTCTTTTCTTTTTTTTTTTTTAAATATATTTTATTGATTTTTTACAGAGAGGAAAGGAGAGAGATAGAGAGTTAGAAACATCGATGAGAGAGAAACATCGATCAGCTGCCTCCTGCACATCTCCCACTGGGGATGTGCCCGCAACCCAGGTACATGCCCTTGACCGGAATCGAACCTGGGACCCTTCAGTCCGCAGGGCGACGCTCTATCCACTGAGCCAAACCGGTTTTGGCAATAGGGTCCTTTTCAATTGGAGTTCAAACTCCGCATACCTCTCAGAACATTTGTCCGGATCATAAGCTTCTCTTCTTTCTTGTTCTGCTGGAAAGCCTCTTGCACAGGCAGTTTTTTTAGAATAAAAGCCCCTGCTGATCCCAGCCCTGGGTGTGGGGCCTGTGTTAACATGAACCAGTTTCCTTCTAGCCCCTTCAACCTTGGAAGGAAACCAGGAATTGCCCAAAATACTTTGATTGCTGTTGGAGAAAACCTGGATTTGAGAGAAGAATAATTGAGAATTGGGGAAGGATGCCTCAGCCTTAGACAGGGAGTGTCATGGTTCACTGGTTAAGTTAAAGCGGATCAGGCATGACCATCAGATTGACGGGCTGAGACACTGACCCATTTTTCGGCCTCAGTACTCTCTGAGGCCAGGGTAGTTTGAGTGAGATTTCACTTCGTTCCAGGCTTAGCACGGAAGACCATCAGAAAGCAGTCATTTCTAATGAGTCTTGTTTTATGATGCTGAATCTCCGGGTATGGTGAAGGAGCCGTGGCTAGAGCCGGGGTGTGGGGCACGTTCCTATCTCCCTATAACACACTCCTTGCATTTTAGATGTGGTGTTTGAGGCTTCTGCTCAGGACCCACCAAACAGAGCAAAGGGATGTTCAGGATGTGAGATTCCTGGAATCGTCCACGAATTGGGAGAGGCAGAGCAATTCTCCTTTCTCTCCGGGCCCAGGAAATTGCAAGGCATACTTGGCTTTCCCTGTAGATCATTAGGTAGAGTCAGACCTTCCACCTCCTGGTTGGCCCATTTCAACCCACTCCATCTCCACAACCCACCACAGCTTTGTAGGAAACGCATTGCTGGACCAGGAGGCACAAGGTTCCACTACAACCTTGCTCGCCATGCCTGCACCGGAAATGCTGGAAGGAACTGCTATTCCATTACTCCAATGTACGCCAGAGCGTGTTATGCTATTGTGTTAATAGGAATATGGGTAGAAAGGGCTCCTCACAATAGCTGCAGAGGAGGGCTGTGAAGTCTTTTATTGAATGGGGTGACTTGTCTCTGGGGAGTAAATTGAAGTCTCTGAATTTTTCTCTTTTATCTTATTGGAGAGGCTACGGAATAGCAACTTTGAATTTTGACTTTGAGCTGCAGGTAATGAGACTTTCCTCATTCTTTTAGCATCTGGTTGCTCATTTGTTTTATTCATTACCATTGTAGGGAATAGGCAACCTTCCCGGAAGGTCAGCCACAGAAATTGGGAATCTGAAAATGGGGGAAAAGAGACTCAGCATTAGGCTGTCTGGTCCTATAAATCCCTGTTTAAAATTAGTTTGGGCAACTTGACCTTTGCCCATTGAAGCTTAAGTGGTAGCCATTTTTCTTCTTTATTTTTCTTAAGAAGCGGCTTTGCTGTGTGTTAGATATGACTGAGGATCCTGTTACTCTTTTTCCTAACTGTCCACAGGTATGCCTCTTTGGGACTAGAAAGCAATTCTTTCTTATTTAACCTTTAAAATATTTAGAGGCTTTTAAGTTGACACTGGTAAACGGCACTGTTTGCACCATTTGTTCTTGGACCGTATGATTCTTATTACTCTTGATTGTTCTGTAATGTGTGCGCAGAGTGTAGAGGTAATGCGTGTGCAAGGAGTAGTGTGAGTAGAATGAGTAGTGTGTGTACAATATGGCATTAAACTACCGTAAATGAGAGGAGAGAAGAGCATCCAAGGACTTCTGGTTTGGAAGAAGTCATGTAAGGAGTAGAACTGAAATTGAAAGGAGGATGCTGCTTCAGGCTTGAGTTTACACAAATATTTTAAAATCCCTTTCACTGTTATTGCTCAGTATTTCTCAAGGGTAGCAAGACCTAGGCTAGGAAATGGATTCTTTTATTAGACAGCCAGGAATTTATCAGTTAAGCATACTTAAAAGTTGGAAACTAATATATAAGAATCTATACTCCATGGAGGCAGCAGTATTGTGGCTCTGAGAGTCAAGCACAGAACTTCATGGCTAAATGAGGACCATGGAATCACACTGTCTCCTACTCTTACCTTGTACCTGATGAAACTGAGCTCCTGAGTTTTTCTAGGTCACTCGGCTACTTAGTTGCTGAGCCTGGTTAAGTCCCTCCCCCCCCCCCCCCCCAGTTCTATGCTTTATTATGTTTAGTCAACACTGAGTAGGAATGACCTTGGGAATTACTACTTTGCTTTTGTATTTTAACCTTTCCATCATGGATTATTTCTCCTTTCACAATAACTGTTACTTTGGTCCAGCTGATGTGGCTCGGTAGTTGAGCATAGATCTACGAACCAGGTGGTCATGGTTCAGTTCCCAGTCAGGGCACATGCCAGAGTTTTAGGCTCAAGCCCCAGTAGGGGGTCTCATGCAGGAGGGAGCCAATTGATGATTGTCTCTCATCATTGGATGTTCCTATCTTCCTCTCCCTTTGTCTCTGAAATTAATAAAAGTATATTTTAAAAACCCCACAAATATCACTTTGATGTTCAACATTGCTAAATATTATGATTTGGCAAATACTAAAGATATCAACATGTTAAGTTCCTCCAAAATGATGTCAGACTATGAATTCTTTTGCTGACCATTCAGAAACTGTAAAACCAGTGACTAGCTCCATTATATTGTTTTGCCTGAGTTTTCATCAGCATCTACATTATATATGTTCACCAATACAAGGAGAACAGAAGTCATTCAAGTAATAAATGAAGAAAGTTGGTAATTATTTCCAAGGTCAGCAACAAACCTTCTGCCCCTCAGACTCTCAGATGGAAAATATAAATAAGGAGGCACCTGAAACAGAGAATCAGTTTCTAACTTGTGACCTGATGGACATAACTCCATTCCTCTTCTGAGTGCTGATCTGGACTTCGGTTTTGTCTTTCAGTGTTTTCCATTTATGTAATTGTTTTGTTTCTTTTTATATTAAAGAACCACTTAATATTGAAGTATGATTGGCATACAGTCTGTTTTTATATAATGTATGTAACTTGATGGGTTTGAGTACATATACACCAGTGAAACCAGCAACTACAGTTTATGCCTTAGACCTGTCCATCACCTCCAAAAGTTTCTTCTTTATTTATTTTTCACTTATTTCATTCTGATCTGTTGGCATTCTGTTTTTGAAAAGGATCTCTCTGTAATCCATGGACACCATTTTCTCTTTGTTTTACCACGTTAATTTGCTATATTCCAGTCATTCCTTTTGAATATACTGTATATACAACTTGTAAGCTTGGTAATTGGTATGTGCCACCTTTTAGTGTTCTGTCCATATTCAGTTCTTCAATTGCATATGTCTCAGCAAACAAAGGAGTAAATGCCTGTAAATATGGATGAAGCTAAAAAAAAAAAAAAAAAAGGCTTGACTATCAGACATGAATCAACTGTGCTTTGCAGACTAATCTATTATTTGAGACTATCTGGGACTGCAAGAATTAATCTTGATCATGTTTATTCTTTTAAAAACATCAACAGTTAAAAATTGCATATCTATTTATTAAAAATGGTTTGAGCCTGCGATGTAATCTCCTAAATGAAGGAATAAAAATGAGAGCAGGGTGCTCCAGCTAACCATTTTTTCTTCCTAAAAACTTGAAATAAATGGAGATCAGGAATGTTAGACATCTTTAAATAAATCAGAGGTCTAATGACATTTCTCATATTTTATTAAGAAAATTTTGATTTGATTTATCTATTTAAGATAACAAGCAAGGTATCCTCTAAGTGCTGAAACATAAATTACAAACACGAAGGCTTGATTTATGTTGATGGTAGATAATACGAGACACAGCAAGTTATCACAGATTTTGCAATATTTCCTGAGTTGGGGGATGGAATTATAGAAAAGTACTGAAAAACAGTGCTGCCTTGAGCTCCATTGGTTGCTGAATAGAGGATGCCTGTCTTCTAAGACATGATATAATCCCAGTGATGTGAACTTTCACGTCTAGTCCAGACTCCTCCAGCTTTAGTGAAATCTGCTCCACGGTTCTGAGTGTCTCCATGTCTCGGCGATGGACTGGACACATTCAGATCTCTGCCAGAATGAAGTAGGGGTGAAAAGAAAAGAGTCCTGTTGGGTAAATGTTGGGTCTCTGATCTCTTGGGGAATATTAACATTCTCATATTCTCCACCTTCTAGACCCTTAGTGACACCGACTGCTAATTCCCAAACTCTGCGTCAATCCAAAATATGCCTTCCGTGTGCTTTACTTGGCTGCTGACTACCAGAGAGAAGTCACGTGACATGGCTTTGCAAATTGGCACCAGTTTTTATTTTCCAACCTCAAGAACTTTGTTTGCGGGAGAGAACCAAGATGGCAGCATAGGTTAATGCCGGAGATTGCTGCCTTGACCAACCAAATCAAAACACACCTAAAAGACAGAACGGACATCATCCAGAACCACAGGAAGGCTGGCTGAGTGGAAATTCTACAACTAGGAGGAAAGAGAGTATCATACCCAGACTCAGAGGAGGTGCAGTGCTGAAGTGAAATACTCAGGTACGGAGAGCGCGGAGCAGGCTGGCGGCGGAGGGCGCGGTTGGTGCTTTCAATCGGGAGGGAGTCTCAGATTCAGAGCTCCAGAGCCGGGTGAGTCTCTAGGGACCCAGACTCAAACGGGAGAAGCGGGACTGTCTGGCTTCAGTCGGAACTCGAAGGCAGCTTTCTCTCCGAGGTTTGCAGCGGTTGCTGGGACTCTGTGAGGCAGAGCCTCTAGGGACGGAACTGAGAGCCGCCATAACTGCTCTCTCCGGCCCACCCTGTTGATCCCGAGCCCGAGCAACCCACCCGCCTCGCCCAAGCCCTGTGCAGAGCCATTTGCCAGATAGCCTCAGGCAAACGCCAGATTAGCACCTCCCTAGAGGACAGAAGTTTTCCCACTGCAGACACAGCTGATTCTCACAGCCAGCTGGCCTGGAGGTCAAATCCCCCTAGTATTAACTACAACAATCAAGTCTTAACTATAGGAGGACTGCACACAAAGACCACTAGGGGGTGCACCAAGAAAACATAAAAAAAATGCGGAGACAAAGAAACAGGACAAAACTGTCAATGGAGGATATTCAGTTCAGAACCACACTTTTAAGGTCTCTCAAGAACTGTCTAGAAGCTGCTGATAAACTTAATGAGATCCTCAACAAATCTAATGAGACCCTCGATGTTATGATAAAGAACCAACTAGAAATTAAACATACACGGACTGAAATAACGAATATTATACAGACTCCCAACAGCAGACCAGAGGACCGCAAGAATCAAGGCAAAGATTTGAAATGCAAAGAAGCTAAAAACACCCAACCAGAAAAGCAAAATGAAAAAAGAATCCGAAAATACGAAGATAGTGTAAGGAGCCTCTGGGACAGCTTCAAGCGTACCAACATCAGAATTATAGGGGTGCCAGAAGATGAGAGGGACCAAGATATTGAATACCTATTTGAAGAAATAATGACAGAAAACTTCCCCCACCTGGTGAAAGAAATAGACTTACAGGTCCAGGAAGCGCAGAGAACCCCAAACAAAAGGAATCCAAAGAGGACCACACCAAGACACATCATAATTAAAATGCCAAGAGCAAAAGACAAAGAGAGAATCTTAAAAGCAGCAAGAGAAAGAAACCCAGTTACCTACAAGGGAATACCCATACGACTGTCAGCTGATTTCTCAACAGAAACCATGCAGGCCAGAAGGGAGTGGCAAGAAATATTCAAAGTGATGAATACCAAGAACCTACAACCAAGATTACTTTATCCAGCAAAGCTATCATTCAGAACGGAAGGTCAGATAAAGAGTTTCACAGATAAGGAAAAGCTAAAGGAGTTCATCACCACCAAACCAGGATTATATGAAATGCTGAAAGGTATCCTTTAAGAAGAGGAAGAGGAAGAAAAAGGTAAAGATACAAATTATGAACAACAAATATGCATCTATCAACAAGTGAATCTAAGAATCAAGTGAATAAATAATCTGGTGATCATAATAGAATCAGGGACATAGAAAGGGAATGGACTGAGTATTCTTGGGGGGAAAGGGGTGTGGGAGATGCGGGAAGAGACTGGACAAAAATCGTGCACCTATGGATGAAGACAGTGGGTGGGGAGTGAGGGCGGAGGGTGGGGCGGGAACTGGGAGGAGGGGAGTTATGGGGGGAAAAAAGAGGAACAAATGTAATAATCTGAACAATAAAGATTTAATTAAGAAAAAAAAAAGAAAGAACTTTGTTTGCCTCATGCACCGTCTCCCTGTTCTTTGCATAACTGTCTTCTTCTGGTCCTGTAGGTTCACCTTCAGTGTAGCTGCCTCCTTTCCTGCTCTCCCTGTGTAAGTTGGCGCCCCCTCACCTAGGGCCTCTTCATTTATTTCAGGACCATTTGCACTCTTTACAATTCTTCTGTGTTTGCCTGACTTATTGTGTGTCTCCACAACTAATTTTTGTGCTTAGGGACAGCATCTGTCTTATTGCTTATGGTAGTAAGTGCTTCCTGACACACAGTAGGTACTCAGGCGGAATTTTTCTATAAATAATAAATTGGGAGATTGCATTTTTTTTAGAAGCATGCCTTAATGAAAAGTGCTGCTTTAAATGAATGTGGCCATAATGGAAGAGGTATCTGTTTAGATGTCAGGATGCACATACCCTTCAAATAAACTTCTTACATGTGGTTACATAACATAAACTTGTGCTCTGAATTCAGAACATGTGGCCTTTGCAGAGCCGTTTTAATGCTGGTTCTCACCTGGCCTTTGCCTGCAGGTGCGCAGGCTGCAGCTCTGTTGATGTGTGTGAGGACACCCAGCGCTGGGTATAGTTCCCAAGCCCTTACTGTTCCTGCATCGCTTTGGAAGTGAGTGAGTGTGCGTGCAAAGCTATTAGAAGGGTTACCTGGAATCTGTTCTAATCTAATCTAATAAAAGAGAAACATGCGAATTGACCATACCTCCGTGAAACCTACAAGCCACGCCCACAAGCCACACCAACCAGCCAATCAGGAGCAAATATGCAAATTAACCCAACTAAGATGGCGGCGGCCACAGAGCTGGAGCGAGCAGGAGGCTTGGGTTGCCCCTGGTGATGGAAAAAGCCAAGCTTCCCTCCTGCCCTGCCGGCCCTGAGCTCCGCTCAAGGCTACAAAGTTTCAATTATAGAAGATAAATAAATCCCAGATACCTGCTTCCAGCCCGTGGCCATGGCCAGCCTGAAAACAGCCATCAGACCCTCACCCAGGCTGGCCACACCCCCATGGGGTGAGGGTCCCCGCTGGGGGGTTTGGCCAGCCTGCAAACACCCATCAGACCCTCACCCAGGCTGGCCAGGCACCCCAGTGGGGACCCCCACCCTGATCCAGGAATCCCTTCAGAGCAAACCAGCCGGCCCTCACCTGTGCACCAGGCCCCTATCCTATATAATAAAAGGGTAATATGCAAATTGACCTTAACAGCAGAACCACTGGGAATGATTGGTCACTATGACACACACTGACCACCAGGGGGCAGATGCTCAATGCAGGAGCTGCCCCCTGGTGGTCAGTGCGTTTCCACAGGGGGACCTCTGCTCAGCCACAAGCCAGGCGACGGCTGCCAGCACAGCGGTGGTGGCAGGAGCCTCTCCCACCTCCTCAGCAGTGCTAAGGATGTCCGACTGCAGATTAGGCCTGCTCCCTGCTGGCAAGTGGACATCCTCCGAGGGCTCCCAGGCTGCCAGAGGGTTGTCTGACTGCTAGCTTAGGCCCACTCTAATGTATATATAAAAAGCAGAAGATAAATCAATTACACTTTTTTAAATGTTAAGGAATTACTTACCACACACCTCATAATCAACTGAGACACATCAATGTGTCATGACATTTGATTTTTGAATTGGTGTTTTAGAAATTAGTCCCAAATCACTGGGTAAGACTTTATTGCTTGTGCAACTTTTGAGGAAGGAGGAAAATGCATGAGTTGAGACTGCAAAATAACAAACCCTGCAGGAGAGGAACTGGTGGAAGTGATAACTGCAGTGAAGTGAATATTGTTACTTGTAAGGCAATGCCTCTGAGGCCCTCCCTCAATGATAACATAATATACTCATTATTTAAGGGGAACTGTTTGAGTGCAAATATTCGATATCTTGGGCCTAAAACTGCAATTTCCTGTGGTTCAAACTAATTAATTTGTGAATATGTTTTATCATTCATCCAAAATGCACTTGGAAATGAGTTCTAAGCACTTATAAAGAGGAGAAAAGCAACACAACAATAGATTTTTTGTAGCTTCTTTTAATGTCTTCTTTCTCAGGGCAAGTTAACCAATCAATGAATTGCCGGTTGTGGTTGCCAACCTTCGCCCAGCACTGGTCTAAGTGCCGTGTCTGAGGGATACCAGGGAAGCCCAGGATAGTGCTGGTCCATAAGCGAGAAGGAAGAAAAAGATGGATACAGAAAATAAAGAGCTTATGCATGCCAAATGACGCAGCCTTAACAAATACAGCACAGGGGCTTGCTGCCATTATGGTTCCCAGTGTGGCTTGCCACATATGTATTTTGTAAAACGTTTTATCTTGAAAAATAATTTTATATTTCTAGAAGAGTTACAGTGTTAGTACAGAGAGTTCCCATAATAAACTCTCAGCTTCCCCTAATATAAACAAGTTACATTACCATGGTGCAGTGATCAGACTAAGATAAGACCATCGGTACATTACCATTAACTAAGCTGTAGACTTTATTCAGATATCCCAGGTTTTTCCATTAATATTCTTTTTCTTTTCCAGGATCCAGCCTGAAATACCACATTACATTTAGGCTACAAGTATTCTAATAATGGATGAGACATAAAAGTCAGAGGGAAAGCATTTTTTCCCTCATACTCAGATCACAGTTGTTACTATTTTGGTATATTCTCTCCCTAACACACCCAAATAAACACACACCACACATATTTTAGGTTTAGATTTCAGACCTCTTTTTGTACTCTCTTTTTAGCATTTAACAAATCATAAACATTACCCCTTTCTATGAATTAGAGTTTGAAATTGTTTAATGTGTACATAGGTTTTATCACACGGATATAGTTTAAGCCAATACGCCCAGATTACTGAACGCTGGTTTCCATTGTTCTCACAAGTGACACAGTGATGAGTGTAAGTGCACATGAGCCCTGGGCAGTTTTCATATTTCTGCAGGCAGATCACAAGGAAGAATATATAATGTGATGATCTAGGGATTCCCCCCTTTATTATAATTTCTAGTTCAAGAGTAACACATTTAAACTAGACTGAATTCTGTACAACTGAAGATGAAAATCTCCCCCTGCTCTGGTAGACTTACTTCCCGGAGGAAGAGAAAGCAGGGAGAGGTCTCTGGCTTTAACCTGAGCCAGACGACTGAAGTCACCAGGGGTGTTTCCAGCAACCGTGTAAAAATGCAGCCTCGTCCCTGAGCTTTTTATA